GGAATTGAAAGGAGGAGAGGGTGTTTCCTCTAAGGAAAAGCACAAAGCTAGGTATTCGCTGGGAATGGGGAACATCAGTGGCGCTTCTGCCACGGAACTGTGACTTCAAGGGTGATACTTCAAATAACTTTACAAAATAATAATAAAAATATTTTAAACCTGCTTCAATGACTTCTTTCCGTGTTGATTTTGTGTGTTTGTTGGCTTTTTGGTTTTGGGGTGGTTTTTTTTTTTTTTTTTTGTTTTTTTTTTTTTTTTATGGAAGAGTTCTGGCCAGGCTCCCCAGAGAATGGTCACAACCCCAAGGATTAAAGTTTTCTGTCTCATTTTTTGCCATTTCTTCGCTGTCTGTTCCAAGCAGTGTTGCTGGTGAAGAAAAAGGAATTTTAATCTCTCCCCAATAAAAGTTTGGGCGTTCCCATCCCTCAGTGACTTTGCACAAGGGCTTGAATTTATTTTCCTTCTAAACCAGAGGTTTCTGCACATTTATTTTGCTTTGTCACTGGTTTATTAGCAGAAATTTATTAACAGAAACCAGTGCCAGAGGTTTCCATAGCTCAAAATCAGAGCAGGGCATTGGGTTTGTGGCCAGGGTAATAATATTCAGCCTTACAACGTTCTTACTGCATTTAATAAAGTCTTGGCTTTATTTTATCAGGATCAAGAGGAAATGGTGATATCAGTTGCTAAACAATGTGATGTATTAAGTAGCTCTAATGTTGCAACTTTGATTTTTGGACTTTTTCATGAGCACATTTGCTCACCATTGGATGCCACTCAACTCTTTTATTAATTCAATGTTAGCACACTTAATTCTCATTTGCTTTTGAATGAAATATTCATGTGGAATCTCTGAACTTCAGCAAAAAAAAAAAAAAAAGAGAGAAATGAGAAATCAGAGAAATTTAACTCTTTAGAGAATGTAATTTCTGTCCTCTAATAGGAAGCACTGTGGATTAAATCCAGCCTGTATTGACTTGTCCTTAGGCAATCCCAATTTATCTCCTCTCCAGGGCTGCCACTTCCAGATACTCCAATCAATCCTTGAGTTATCAGCCCCTCAACTTTGTGCCTTTGAATTAATAAAGATTCATTTCAATAAAGTTCCTATTCAAAGGAGACTGCGGAATCAAACGATCCAATTACAGATTTATCAAATATTAATAAGGAAAAATCTTCCAGATCTTTTGGATGCCAACATCCTTCTCCCCTGGTGTCAGGAAAGTAATTAGCAGCTGGCTTTGATTAAATTCTTCCCTCGGAGATTGCTGCTCTCAGTTTGAGGGAGAGGAAGAAATGCACACGACAGGATTTCCTAATTCCTCCTTGGAAAGCCTTTTTGGAAAGATCCTCGTGCCTTCAGTTCAGGGAAATCTCTCAGTGTCCAAAACCTGGGGCTGAAAGCTGAAGTTCATGCCCAGGTGTTGTTGTGGTTACTGAGATGATTTTTTTCCTCAGGGATCTCCTTTTTTCTCAGGGATCTCCAGCACGGAAAGAACCTGGAGCTGCTGGAGAGTCCAGAGGAGACCATGGAGAAGATCAGAGGGAAAGGCTGGGAGAGCTGGGAATGTTCCCCTGGAGAAGGGAAGGCTCCAGGAGACCCTTCCANACCGTCCTGGGGGCTGCGGGGAGGGGAACACCAAAATGGGTCAGGAAACCCCAAAAGCAGCTAAGGAATCCCAAAGACAGCAGGGAAACCCAAAAGTGGTCAGGGGAACCCAAAACCAGCAAGGAAATCCCAAAACCAACAGGGAAATCCCAAGAACTGGTCAGGGAATCCCAAAACGGTCAGGGAAACCCAAAGCACTGAGGAAACCACAAAAACAGTCAGGAAATCACAAAACCTGCAGGGAAACCCAAAGATGGTCAGGGAAAGCCAAAAACAACCAAGAAATCCTAAAACCAGCAGGGAAATCCCAAGAACTGGTCAGGGAAACCCAAAACAGTCAGGGAAACCCAAAACTGGTCAGGAAATCCCAAAGCACTGAGGAAACCACAAAACCAGTCAGGAAATCCCAAAGACAGCAGGGAAACCCCAAAGATGGTCAGGGAAACCCAAAAGCGGGCAGGGGAACCCAAAAATGGCAGAGAAATCCAAAAACTGGTCAGGAAATCCCACAGGCAGCAGGGAAATCCAAAACACGGTCAGGAAACCCCAAAGACAGCAGGGAAACCCAAAAACAGTCAGGGAATCCCAAAGACAGAAGGGAAACCCCAAGGACAGAAGGGAAACCCAAAACTGGTCAGGAAATCACAAAGACAGCAGGGAAACCCCAAAAATGGTCAGGAAAGCCCAAAGGAAATCAGGGAAATCCCAAAGACAGCAGAGAAATCCCAAAGATGGTCAGGAAACCCAAAACGGTCAGGGAAACCCAAAAGCTGCTAAGAAATCCCAAAGACAGAAGGGAAACCCAAAAGATGGTCAGGGAAAGCCAAAAACAACCAGGAAATCCCAAAGACAACAGGGAAATCCCAAAGCAGCCAGGAAATCTCAAAGACAGAAGGGAAACCCCAAAAACTGGTCAGGGAAACCCCAAAAATGGTCAGGAAATCCCCAAAAACAGTCAGGAAATCCCAAAGACAGCAGGGAAACCCAAAAATGGCAGGGAAACCCCAAAGCAGTCAGGAAACCCCAAAGACAGAAGGGAAACCTAAAACTGGTCAGAGAAACCCAAAGACAGCTGCAAAGCCCAAAAGCAGCAGGGAAACCCCAAAGACAGCAGGGAAACCCCAAAGATGGTCAGGAAACCCAAAAGCGGTCAGGAAATCCCAAAGACAGCAGGAAAATCCCCAAAACAGCCCAGAAACCCCAAAAGCAGTCCAGAAATCCCAAAGGAAAAATCACAAACCCCAAAACCAACAGGGAAACCCCAAAAACAGCCAGGGAATTGCAAAAATGGTCAAGAAATCCCAAGAAATCCCATTTCAAAACTGGGATTGCAAAGGAAAAAAATTTGATTTTTTCTCTTTTTCCTAAATGCGTTTTTTTTAAATAAATTTGGTTTTTTATCAAGCTAAAAAATTCATTTCTAAATTTGGGATTTTTAGGGAATAAATTTGTTTTTTCTTCTTCTTCTTAAATTTGCTTTTGTTGTTGTACCAAGACAAAAATCTAAATTCTAAATTGGGATTTCAAGGGAATAAATTTGCTTTTTCTTTTTTTTCTAAATGCGCTTTTTTTAATAAATTTGCTTTTCTACCAAGTCAAAAATCAAACTTCCAAATTGGGATTTCCTGGGAATAAATTTGTTTTTTTTCCTAAACTTGCTTTTTCTTTATAAATTTGATTTTTCTCTTCTACCAAGCCAAAAATCCCACTTCTAAATTCAGATTTCAAGGGAATAAATTTGCTTTTTTTCCTAAATTTGCTTTTTCTTTATAAATTTGATTTTTCCCTTCTACCAAGTCAAGACTCCCAGTTCCAAATTGGGATTTCCAGGGAATAAATTTGCTTTTTTTCTAAATGTGCTTTTCCTTCATAAATTTGCTTTTCTATCAAGTAAAAAAATCCCAGTTCTAAATTCAGCTTTCCAGGGAATAAATTTGCTTTTTTTCCTAAACTTGCTTTTTATTTAAAAATTTGATTTTTCTCTATAAATTTGATTTTTCCCTTCTACCAAGCCAAGAACCCCAGTTCCAAATTGGGATTTCCAGGGAATAAATTTGCTGTTTTTCCTAAACTTAATTTTCTTTATAAACTTGATTTTTCTACCAAGTCAAGAACCCATTTCCAAATTGGGATTTCCAGGGAATAAATTTGCTTTTTTCCCCTAAATTTGCTTTTTCTTTATAAATTTGATTTTTCCCTTCTACCAACTCAAGAATCCCAGTTCCAAACTGGGATTTCAAAGAATAAATTTGCTTTTTCTCCATAAATCTGATTTTTCTCTTGTACCAAGCCAAGAACCCCAGTTCCAAATTGGGATTTCAAAGGAATAAAATTGCTTTTTTTCCTAAACTTAATTTTCTTTATAAATTTGATTTTTCTACCAAGTCAAGAACCCCAGTTCTAAATTGGGATTTCAAGGGAATAAAATTTACTTTTTCTTTTTTTTCTAAATGTGCTTTTTTTAAAAAATTTGCTTTTCTTCCAACTCAAAAATCCCACTTCTAAATTCAGATTTCCAGGGAATAAATTTGCTTTTTTTCTAAATGTGCTTTTCCTTCATAAATTTGCTTTTCTACCAAGTCAAAAATCAAACTTCCAAATTGGGATTTCCTGGGAATAAATTTGCTTTTTCTCCATAAATTTGCTTTTTCCCTTCTACCAAGTCAAGAATCCCAGTTCCAAATTGGAATTGCAAGGGAATAAATTTGCTTTTTTCCTAAATGTGCTTTTTCTCCATAAATTTGCTTTCTCTTTTTCCTAAATGTGCTTTTTCCCCCTAAATTTGCTTTTCCTCCATAAATTCGATTTTTCTCTTTTACCAAGCCCAAAATCCCAGTTCTAAATTCAGCTTTCCAGGGAATCAATGTGTTTTTTTCCTTACAGAGCTCCGGGGGCGCAGCAGCCACGAGGGGCTCATCGGAGCCCGAGGATCCGGCAGTGGAGAAAGTTCTGGAATTTCCAACCCTGCTGAGCAAGGAGGGGAATCCTGGCAGGTAGGAAACCAACCTGGCTCTGCTGCACAGCACCTGCAGAGAAAACCATTCAAATCGTTAATTAGTCATCTAATTAATTAATGTTTTGTAGGAAAAATACTAAGAGTCATTTAAAAGAAGCTACGTGAAAAATCCTCCCCTCAATAATTACATTAAAATTTGAATTACAGCTATGTGTAACATCAAATTGTAAAAATATTTTATTTTAATTTTTATATTTTGTTGTAAAAGCCTTGAAGTGGTTTTAAAGCTTTTTTCATAAGCAAAATCTTCTCCCAATAATTATATTAAAATGTGAATTATGGTGAGTTGTAACATCAAGTTGTAAAAAATTTTATTGTTATATTAATTTTTATATTTTTTATATTTTTGTATATTTTTATATTTTGTTGTTCCAAGCAAAGAAAAAGCCTTAACGTGGTTTTAAAGCTTTCTTTCATAAGAAAAATTCTCCACCAATAATTATATTAAAATTTGACTTATGGCCAGTTGTAACATCAAGTTGTAGAAAAATTTTATTGTTATTTTAATTTGTATATTTTGTATATTTTTATATTTTTCTTTCCAAGCAAAGAAAAAGCCTTAAAGTGGTTTTAAAACTTTCTTTCATAAGAAAAATCTTCCCTCAATAATTATTTTAAAATTCGAATTATAGCGATTTGTAACATCAAGTTGTAAAAATATTTTATTTTAATTTTTATATTTTGTTGTAAAAGCCTTAAAATGGTTTTAAAGCTTTCTTTCATAAGAAAAATCCTCTCCCAATAATTACATTAAAATTTGAATTATGGCCAGCTGTAACATCAAATTGTAAAAATATTTTATTGTTGTTTTGATATTTTGTTGTTCCAAGCAAAGAAAAAGCCTTACAGTGGTTTTAGTGTTGATTAAAGCCCTGAAAATTTAAAATTTAAATTAAATTCTGGATAGGGGTTGTCTCCATTATTATCTGCTGGAAAACACAAATCCCACCTCCCACAGAGAGGGTGTTTCTTGGAAAATTCAACTTTTTTAGGTGGGAAATACCAATGCTTTTGAGAAAATAACATAAAAGGATTTTAAATTTAAAAATGATGCAATTTTACATCAAAAGAGGCACTTTCAGAATTAATTTATTTTTAAAAGAAGAGAATAAATGGTGCTATTTGGGTGTTTAATATAAAAATTATTTAAAGTATAATAACCTAAGGCAGTAGAAGGTTTTTTTTATCCAGCACTGTGTAAATATATATATTTACTTCTGTGTAAATATAAATATATATTTATATATATAAGTAAATATATATAATATATATTTACTTCAGTGTAAATATAAATATATATTTACTTCTGTTTAAGTATAAATATTTACTTCTGTGTAAATATATAAATTTATATCTGTGTAAATATAAAAACACATATTTACTTCTGTGTAAAAATAAATAAATATATTTACTTCAGTGTAAATATAAATATTTACTTCCGTGCAAATATATATATTTACTTCTGTGTAAATGTAAATAAATATATTTACTTCTGGGTAAATATAAATATATATATATTTACTTCTGTGTAAATATATATGTTTACTTCTGTGTAAATAGAAATATATTTACTTCTGTGTAAATATAAGTATAATATTTACTTCTGTGTAAATATATACATATATTTTCTTCTGTATAAACATATATATTTACTTCTGTGTAAATATAAATATATATACTTACTTCTGTGTAAATATAAATATAATACTTCTGTGCAAATATAAATAGATATATTTACTTCTGTGTAAATGTAAATATATATGTTTACTTCTGTGTAAATATATAAATAGATATATTTACTTCCGTGTAAATATAAATATATATTTACTTCTGTGTAAATATAAATATATATTTATATACATAAGTAAATTTATATTATATATATTTACTTCTGTGTAAATATAAATATTTACTTCCATGTAAATATAAATATATATTTACTTCTGTGTAAATATAAATATTTACTTCCGTGTAAATATAAATATCTATTTACTTCAGTCTAAATATAAATATATTTACTTCTGTGTAAATATAAATATATATTTACTTACATGTAAATATAAATATACATATTTACTTCTGTGTAAATATAAAGTAATCTCTACCAAATTATAAGACCTCAAATGCTTCAAACCACATTTAATTTATAATTTAAATCAATTTTTTACAGTTCAAGCCTGGAGCTGTCTCCTTTACAAGATTCCTGTATTTGATTCCACTCCAATCTTTTTTCTTTATCACATCAAATCCCCATTAAAATCAATTTTTGCATGATGAGGATGCCACAAACAGATGTAAACAATTACAGCCAACATGNTTGCCATTGATTTTGCATCTCGAAAAGCTGCAGGAGCATTCCCAGCCCCATTCCCAAGGGCAGCAGAGGGATGGGATCCCAGCCTGTGGTCCAGGGAATATTTGGGATCACCCCACAGAGCTGGCAGCTCCCAGCCATGCTCTGGCACTGCCCCAGCCAGGGAATTTTCAACCTCCACACTCCAGCTCAGCTATTTTGTTTATCCATTCCATTCCCTGGATTTATTTTTCCTCACGTTTTCCTTCACTGGGGCTCCCCCCTTCCCTTGACCCGCTAAATCTGGGGAATGAGGAATCCCTGAGTGTCAGGGGTGGAGAAGAAGGGAGAAAAGGTTTTAACGTGCTCTTTGCCACAAAATAAACATTCCCTGGCATTCCAGCCCCTCTTTTCCACAAAATAAGCATCCTCTGGCATTCCAGCCCCATTCCCAAGGGCAGCAGAGGGATCCCAGCCTGTGGTCCAGGGAATATTTGGGATCACCCCACAGAGCTGGCAGCTCCCAGCCGTGCTCTGCCACTGCCCCAGCCAGGGAATTTTTAACCTCCATGCTCCAGCTCAGCTATTTTGTTTAAATCCATTCCATTCCCTATATTTATTTTTCCTCACGTTTTCCTTCACTGGGGCTTCCCACCTTCCTTAGACCTGCTAAACCTGGGGAATGAGGAATGAGGAATCCCTGAATGCCAGAGGTGAAGGGAGGAAAGGTTTTAACGTGCTCTTTTCCACAAAATAAGCATCCTCTGGCATTCCAGCCCCATTCCCAAGGGCAGCAGAGGGATGGGATCCAGGGGATATTCGGGATCACCCCACAGAGCTGGGAGCTCCCAGCCATGCTCTGACACTGCCCCAGCCAGGGAATTTTTAACCTCCACACTCCAGCTCAGCTATTTTGTTTAAATCCATTCCCTGGATTTATTTTTCCTTCACTGGGGCTCTCCCCTTCCCTAGACCTGCTAAACCTGGGGAATGAGGAATCCCTGAGTGCCAGGGGTGGAGGAGAAGGGAGGAAAGGTTTTAACGAGCTCTTTGCCACAAAATAAGCATTCCCTGGCATTCCCAACCCCATTCCCAAAGGCAGCAGAGGGATCCCAGCCTGTGGTGCAGGGGATATTCGGGATCACCCCACAGAGCTGGCAGAATTTTCAACCTCCACACTCCAGCTCAGCTATTTTGTTTAAATCCATTCCATTCCCTGGATTTATTTTTCCTCACGTTTTCCTTCACTGGGGCTCCCCTCTTCCCTTGACCTGCTAAATCTGGGGAATGAGGAATCCCTGAGTGCCAGGGGTGGAGGAGAAGGGAGGAAAGGTTTTAATGTGCTCTTTTCCACAAAATAAGCATTCCCTGGCATTCCAGCCACATTCCCAAAGGCAGCAGAGGGATCCCAGCCTGTGGTGCAGGGAATATTCGGGATCACCCCACAGAGCTGGCAGCTCCCAGCCATGCTCTGGCGCTGCCCCAGCCAGGGAATTTTTAATCTCCACACTCCAGCTCAGCTATTTTGTTTATCCATTCCATTCCCTGGATTTATTTTTCCTCACGTTTTCCTTCACTGGGGCTCTCCCCTTCCCTAGACCTGCTAAACCTGGGGAATGAGGAATCCCTGAGTGCCAGGGGTGGAAAGGTTTTAATGTGCTGTTTTCCACAAAATAAGCATTCCCTGGCATTCCAGCCCCATTCCCAAGGGCAGCAGAGGGATGGGATCCCAGCCTGTGGTCCAGGGGATATTCGGGATCACCCCACAGAGCTGGCAGAATTTTCAACCTCCACACTCCAGCTCAGCTATTTTGTTTAAATCCATTCCATTCCCTGGATTTATTTTTCCTTCACTGGGGCTCCCCCCTTCCCTTGACCTGCTAAACCTGGGGAATGAGGAATCCCTGAGTGCCAGGGGTGGAAAGGTTTTAATGTGCTGTTTTCCACAAAATAAGCATTCCCTGGCATTCCAGCCCCATTCCCAAGGGCAGCAGAGGGATCCCAGCCTGTGGTCCAGGGAATATTCGGGATCACCCCACAGAGCTGGCAGCTCCCAGCCATGCTCTAGCACTGCCCCAGCCAGGGAATTTTTAACCTCCACGCTCCAGCTCAGCTATTTTGTTTAAATCCATTCCCTGGATTTATTTTTCCTTCACTGGGGCTCCCCCCTTCCCTTGACCTGCTAAATCTGGGGAATGAGGAATCCCTGAGTGCCAGGGGTGGAGGAGAAGGGAGGAAAGGTTTTAACGTGCTCTTTGCCACAAAATAAACATCCTCTGGCTGTAGGAAGAGTAAACTTCCCCTGGAAATGGATGTGTTTATATGAACAATCCCTTTCTTCTGGCATTTCCAGAGATTTGCTGGCCACCACTGGGAAAAGAGGCTTTTAGGGGAGCAGATAAGTCTTTGCATGATTTGTTTTCTTTTTGGCAAGACATTCCCCCCTGGATGGATTGCTGTGAACCTGAAAGGGATTTTTTCCTTTATCTCCTGCGTGTCCCTGCCCTCTGCAATGCCCACCAAAAGGACAGGGAGGGAAAGGGCATTTCCCACAAAACTGCTGGGCTTGGACTCGGCTTTACTGGGGATTTTCTGGGAATCCTTCACCAGCACAGCCTGGTTCTGTAATCTCCCAGGTTTTCACCAAAGAGAGAAATCAGGCTTTAAAAGTTTTACAATTTGCTTACACAGGAATATTTTAATATAATTTAATTTAA